TTTAATGTTGAACAATTAAAACATAATAATATTAATAATGTAGAGCTTGACGATTTTTCTAGTCTCTAAAAAATACATTTGAAAATGTATGGATAACAACAATAGCCAATTTAGTATTAAAATTAAATTTATTATTATTATTAGGTTAATCTTAGGTCTGACAATAAAATATGCATATAATATTGACACACATAGATATACGCACTGATACAATTCACAAAACAAGAAGTTATCAGGAAAACATAATTATATACTAAATAAGTATATAAATAAAAGGTAAAATACCATATATATATATATATATATATATATATATATATATATATATATATATATATATATATATATATATATATATATACACAAAGATGTACAAACATAAGATAACATGAAATAAAACTAATAAAAAAATAATAATAATGATATATATATATATATATATATATATATATATATATATATATATATATATATATATATATATATATATATATATATATATATATATATATACACACACAAAGAAAAGAAAGGGGGAAAAAGAGCAATGAAGAAATGGGTGTCTCTTTAAAAATTTAATATGAACTTTAAGATAAGTTGCTTTTGGTGCTTCACCCTTATTTATTCTTGATTTTTTGGGTCCAAGATTTGAAATAAAAGTGTAAGTGTAAAATGTTAAATGTTTGATAAATGTAAAGTTGTAAAATGTGTTCTCTATTTAACAACAATACAGAAAGTCAGAAAGACGACTACTGTACTTTAGACTCTGCTTGGTCTTTTCAGGCATATTTTCACAATTTTCCAATATGATGGCTTAGCAGTCAAAATAATAATAATAATAATAATAATAATTCCTTACATTTATATAGCGCTTTTCTGGGCACTCAAAGCGCTTTACATAGTGGGGGGGATCTCCTCATCCACCATAGATGAAAATAGAACAAATGACCAAATGAATGGGACAAATTCTGGACCTTTGTCAGTGGGAGGAGGGTCTTTCGAACCACCCGAAGCCCCCCTGGCCACAAGCCTGACAGTTTAGCCTAAATCTGAATGGTGATGGATGTTTGTTTCACTCATAAGTTAGGTATTTAATTAAACACTTATTTAAAGCTATAAAAACATGCTGAATTAATTTATTTAGCCTAAATATTTAGAAAAAACATGACATCTGTTTTTATTACAGTAAAGAAAATCTAAATGACATTTTTTTAATTTCATTTAACAGAATAAAACCTGAAAAAACACACGATAACACATATTTATAAATTTTACATTCAGTGTCACGAAAAATATTCATGTGATCTCTTTAATTAGCCTACATCCTATATGTAATGTAAGGTGGATTTTTCAAGCGCATTTATTGTGTATGGCCAAACACCCAAAGCGCTTTACAATCATGAGGAGGGGGGTGGCATAAAGCTGGTAAATAAAGAGAAATGGATACTATGTTTATTGTTTAATGTTCGTTTAAAGTAATGTATACGGCATTGTAGACCCAAATAGATTTAGTTAACTTCTTGATTGGTTCATTAAGCTAATGTTGCATAAATCCCAATGCTATTGGTTTTGTGCCTTCAGCCAAAAGACTGCCTTGGGAATTGAATGAAACCACTAAATTATATAGCTGATCGCACAATAGACAACGGAAATATTGTGTTACATCCTCATGTTTCCCCCCCTTAAAATACTATTTATTATAACACTTGATCCCCTTGTATTCCTGTCAGCAGTCGTCTGAAGATGTTGCTATAGCAACCTAAAATCTTGATGGCACAAGATGCAGCCTAGTAGCACTTTTGTTCATGACACACAAAATGTGATACAGACCCAACAGAAGGTTGGTATCACTCGTGGTTCTCACTATGCAGACTGTCCAGTTGTGTGCCATTGTGCACAGTGCAAAAGGCCGCGGCCATCTGTGCTCAGCCTCTCCACGGGGGGTTGAATACATTTTAATAGACCTTATCTCATTGTCATCTTTAGAGCTTATGGGGCATGATGGATGGGGGAGGGAGGAGCCTCCTGCGCTTTATCCTGAGAGAGGGGTTGAATTTGTGCCTTACAATTGGGGATTTATACAGGACTTATATGATATAATATTTAAATGCCGATACAAAAAAGTGTGGTCATGGAATTACAGTTTTTCTCAGTGGCTTTGGTGCATTTCTCACAACACTATTTACATTTGTACAACAGTTCATGCATTTCTCAAAACAATTAGTCATTTGTGCACATCCTAGTAGAAGTTTCTCATTCCTTCCAACAAATTGCAAATGCTTTTGGACATGCATTAATTGCTTTCATAAAACTCTCTGCTATTTATAACATTATCATATGCTTATGTCAGTCAAATGAACTAAACTTGTGAATGCTGAATAGTCATTCCATATAAAACCAATAGTCCTCATTTCATTACTTGGGTCATTACCAGGGCCAGACGGAATCTGCGGACATTTTTTGCTATTTCTGCGCAGAATTGTGTTAAAGATCTGCAGATTTATGCGGAATTATTTTCAGAGTATTATAACTAAAACTTTATTATATTAAATAAAAAGTAATACATTTTAAACTTTTATTTAATGTTTGCAATGCAAATCCAATTAGATCCACTTATTTAGTAAGCAAAGTCTCTTATATAATAAATCTACTAGAAGACAGAAAATGTTACTTTTACAAACTGTATTGTAAATAAATCATATTAATTTTTTCATATTAGTCAAAAATATGACTGTAATTAATTTAAAAACTGAATAACACATTTACACAAGTAATTACAGTTTTTCTCAGTCGCTTTGGTGCATTTCTCAGTACACTATTTACATCTGCACAACAGGTAATGCATTTCTCAAAACAGTTAGTCATTTGTGCACATCATAATAGCAGTTTCTCATTCCTTCCAACAAATTGCAGATGCTTTTGGACATGCATCAATTGCTTTCATACAACTCTCTGCAGTTTATAGCATTATCATTTGCTTATGTCATGTCAGTCAAAATTAACTAAACTTGTAAATGCTGAATAGTCATTGCACATAAAACTTATAGTCCTCATTTCCTCATGTCATTACAGACAAAAATGTTGAACTAATTGTCAAAATCTGTCTTGCAAATTTTATTTAAAAAAATTTAATCTTTATTTTTCTGAAAATGTCTTCTAAATTGAACAATATTATGAATGATTTACAGATCTGTGTTGTAGGTTCAGTTCCAATATGTTCTGCATATAGTTTACAGTTGTGCCCAGCTTTACCCAAAGGAAGCTTATGCTTGTTGTAAATAAGGGTGCGTTTATTCTTTTGCACAATGCTGTGAATAAATTAGAATTGCAATGAGCATGTGCAGTAAAAATGTGAAACATATTCAGTGTCTTGTACTCAGATACCTCACTAAATGCAGTGATGTCTAACTTTCTGTAGTTTTCAAATGGCTGTACAAATAGTATATTGTCTTGAACATTTTCAGTATGTTTCACCAAAATCTGACTTTTTGTCATTGAAAATATGTACAGAGTAAACTGTTAAAATGAAAACATGACAAAGCCTTATGACTATCTTGATCATAAACAATGGTGTCAGAACATTTCATCTTGATGACATTGACACTTTTATTGACATCAATACTTGCTTTTGAGGAATGAGGTCTCCATTTTGAGCAAGTTACACGCTTTTGCAGGTTATCAGCTCGGTTTGGCACTTTGTACTAATTGTTTTGAGAAGTGCATTAACTGTTGTGCAAATGTAAATAGTGTTTTGAGAATGCACCAAAGCCACAGAATAAAACTGTAAATAAATATAGACAGAAAGCATGACAAAAACAGACAGACAGACAGACAGACAGACAGACAGACAGATCGACCAATAGATAAACACAGAAATACACTTATTTTGACATATACTTTGACATAGACTTATTTTGACTAAATGTAAATGATATCACACATTCTTATATGGATGGATGGATGGATGGATGGATGGATGGATGGATAGACGGACGGACGGACAGATAGATGACAGACAGACAGACAGACAGACAGAAAGATAGATAGATAGATAGATAGATAGATAGATAGATAGATAGATAGATAGATAGATAGATAGATAGATAGATAGATAGATAGATAGATAGATAGATAGATAGATAGATAGATAGATAGATAGATAGATAGATAGATAGATAGATAGATAGATTGTCATTAAAATAGTATTTATATCTAACACTGACATAGACTTATTTTGACTAAATGTAAATTAAATTTCATATTCTTTATAGATAGATAGGAAAGAAGGAAAGGCAACCACTGCTTAAAACATATGCTGGAAAAGTTGGTGATTCATTCCTCTGTGGCAACCCTTAATAAATAAGGGACTGAGCCAAAGGAAAATTAATGAATGAGTAAATAATATAATGTTTATTACTATATTATAACATGTTTATTATTATAGTTATTATAATTTATTAGGCCTACATTACATTATTTTAAAATATTTTAGACAGACAGACAGACAGACAGACAGACAGACAGACAGACAGACAGACAGACAGTTAGATAGATAGATAGATAGATAGATAGATAGATAGATAGATAGATAGATAGATAGATAGATAGATAGATAGATAGATAGATAGATAGATAGATAGATAGATATATAGATTGTCATTAAAACAGTATTTATATGAAATTTATAATAATTTATAAAAACTTTCTATAAATAGCCTAACTGTTACAATTATGTAATTAATGTAGGACTAAATCTGTTAAAGTTTCTTAATTTACAGAATAGGAAGGCCAGTCGAATATTATACAAACCATATAGCCTGTAATATCTAATTTCTAAAACATTTAAATCTTACATCATTACATTGGATTAAAAAAAAATCATTTGAAATGTAAAAATTAAACAAAAGTATAATAGCTACATATGTTTTCCATTCCGTCCCCCCGTAAATATAGCCAGTGATATATTTGTTCCAACATCTGCGCCAGATGTTCCAGCCAACCAGCGGCCATGATCATCGGCTCCTGTGAGTGGGAGGAATCTGAGCAGCGGCGGAGGATGATGATGCTTATGGCTGTCACATCCAGAGGACCACCAGACACCTCAAACCTGTGATGTTAAAAACCACTGCGGCAGCTGAACGATGGCCTTGCCTGACGTTTTCGTGGGGCTCATAGTGGGTACGTATATAGACCTGAGACGACAACACGGGGAGAAATACTCGCTCTTTTCCGCTGCAGTGATTGCTAGCCTAATGGCTAACGGAATAGCGTTCGTGCTCATTACATCATGGATAAACCGACTTGGAGTTAATCGTTAATTCAACGCGGAGATACGGTGAATCGACTGTATTACACATAGATGACGTTAATAATAATTCCGCAAGAAGTATTTTATAACCTTACATGCCGTCTGCCTTCGTATAATGTTACTGTAGCTAAATCACAACAATACAGTTATAACGCTTGGTTCTTTTCCATAAACACCAAGCATTTCGTGTAATATTAAGACGCATTTTTTTTCTTAGTGAGCTGTTTTCTCATGTTGTTCCCTTTGTTTGTCCTATTTGTACGTTCTAAAGTCGTAAATGTTTGTTCTGTCAGTGGCACACACGCCCAAACCCGGGCTTTAATCGACTCCAAACAGAGATCTGTGTTTTACAGTGGCGGTGAGTGATTGGACATACTGGCGGTGTCTCAAAAACTAGTGTGCTGCCTTCCCTGTATTTAGTGATTCATTTAACTGATTTAGACCTTTTAAAATCCTTTCATTGATTTATCCAGTAGGATTTCTGCAGGTTATGCTACATGATTAAGATATTTTTCAACAAAACAATTATATTTATTGTTAATTGACTCATCTTCAGGCCTCCTATGTGGCTTTTTCTCTTTATTAAGACATTAACGATTACTCTTTTTTTAAGCCAGAATAGTTGGTGATAAAATGCAAATTAACAGGCCAAAAAAACATATTCAGGCAAAACGTCATCATGTGCAGGCAGGGGCGGATTTAGTGATTTTGGGGCCCTAAGCAATTCCAGCCATAGGACCCAAGTCCTGAAATGCACTCTTTCTACTTTTATTTAATTTTTATTTATATTGCAGTTTTTATATATCACTCAATCTTATTTTTGACATTTTAGTTTAATGCAATTGCTACATTTTGAATTATTAGTTTTCTTAAAATTAATTACAACAAAAAATAATAAATACATATAATTTTTTATAAAGTGGATATTTTATTTTGTAATATTAATAATATAATTACATTATATATATATATATATATATATATATATATATATATATATATATATATATATAACGTTACATTATTATAATAGCATTATTGACTGTATTAAATAATATTTAATTACGTTAAAATTGTATTTGTAACTCTTACCATACAAAATATAGTACAAAACAACGTTATATATAGTTTATAGGTATCATTTATACTTCTCCTTCTCGATATTTATTGGAGGCCCCCAGATTTCCTGGGGCCCTACGCGGCTGCTTACCTCGCTTATTAGTTAAATCCGCTCATGTGTGCTGGTTTAGTACCATTTGCCAGGGCTGTGAATCACAGGTGATAATGTTGTAAATATTGTTCACTTTCATGCACAGACTGATCGTTTCACTTAATTGCCTTGATCTAGCATTAGTAGACATAGGTATTCATTTTGGTCACACTTTAAGTGTTTAAGTACCAATTCTTGCAAACTAATGGCTTATTACCTGCCTATTATTAAGATATTGCCTGTTTATTAGTACTTATAAAATACATATCCTGCCTGATCATATTCTACATTCATAATCCTACTCAATACATGAACCTAAGCACAAAATTAAGTTATTTGATCTAAAAGACATAGTTAATGATAGTGCTTAGCATAGTTGATTACACTATATTTTAAAAAAAAGAATATTTTTTACCATTTTTCAGTGAATATAGGCAATGTATTTTGGTGCATTTAAACAAAACAGACTTATTAAACAGATATTTTTATTAAAATAATATTTTAGTCACCATACTGTACATATTTAGAAATTGAAAGATAATACAATACAATTCAAGCAAAATATTGCAAAAATAAATTACATCCTACAAATTTAAACACATTTTTTACCTCTTTTGATTTTTCCTCCTTTAAAAGTTTGTATTTAATATTTTTCTATAACAAAATCATTTGGATGTGCTAGTTTTTGGACCATCATCATAAGTTATTTTGTTAGATAAGCTTCAGTACTGACTAATCTAATGTATATGCACAAATATAATATTGTATAGCTTCCTAATAAAATATGAATTTAAAAGATGGATTTGTGAAGGGTGCACATATACACTGTATGCTGAGCACTGTATGTTATTAGCGAGAATTGTTGGTGTATTGGCGATCTACTCATTCCAGTTCCCCGCCAATTCCATAGGGACTCAGCACAAAGGATTTAACGTGTAAAACCACAAACTAGCAATGTAACAGTTTACTCTTCGTTTGTCAGGATTCAACAAAAATCAAAAAACAAACGTAAGAACTATTTACACTTTTCCAAGCTTCAATATGAATATGACTTTGAAGAACGAAAACATTACCATCAAGCCCCTTCCTTCTTTCTTATCTTTTTTCCTTGTTGCTTACATATGGACGTATGGCATTTGTTAACATATGAAATGTGATGTACATAATATAATATCACAAAATATACAAATCAAATGCTGTATCCAATAACAATAACTATAAATCTCAATACAAAAATTATAATATTATCGTAAAATATTACAAATCTCTTTGCGCTCTTTATGGCTCTAACAGCCTTAATTTTCTTTAGCCAGTGTATTTTGACTCATAAAGTGCCTGTAGCCATTAACTTGCATTTTATGAATCACCAAGGATGACATTTTCAGCTTAAATGGCCTGAGGATGATTAATTAAATAGTCATTTTTCATTTTTGGATGAATCCCTTTTAAAGATTATACTCTAGTACAGCAAGTCATTCACAGACATTGTATTAAAGGCATGTGTAGCACAAAAAGTTTGACGTGCATGTAATGCTGACTAGGTAGGCAGCTCACTAGGTTTTTCAGACGAAGCTGATGTGTTTGAAGTGATCATAACACATGCACAGCGTTTTCCTGTGCAAAGCTTTTTGGGCTTAACACCTGCCAACCTGCTGAATCGCCTCCCTGTATAATTCACCTTCCTCTCGACTACTTTAAAGTAGAATGGGAGGAACTACTCCATTAACAAAACCGCTAGTGTGTATATTATAACATGCTGTAGCTCAATGATGCAACAGCTAATGTATAACAGTTTTATTTACATATTGTTTGATGTGCATAATACATTTATAATTCCCTGTGCAGCACTATTAATGAATGCATTTCTATTCAAATCATAATATCCACTGTTTAAAGTGTATAATAAATGAAAATCGGTATTACCTGATAAAGGGCCGGCTTGGGGAAAGCATTCTCTCGCTTCTCCTTGACTGTGTTCCCGGCTACAGCTTAGTCATGACAAGCTGACCCAGTTTTGTGCACAACTCTGATCTCCAGGCGCAGTACTTTGAACAGTTTGACGTCTTCGCGATCATGCAATTAGACTGCACTGCTTTGCAACGAATTGTGAAGTGCATGAATTCCTCTTGACCGGAAAAGAGAAGACAACACAGAGCTGATTCGACAGTTCACTAGGACATCCCTGACTGTGTCACGGAAAAGGGAGGGAGTGAAAGAGAAAGTGTCTTTTCTTAGTTGCCACATGATGAATTTCTACATTTGGCTCCACACAAGGTCATCCCATAAAAATCATAAACCAGGATTAGCTATTTCTCCTGCAGGGCCTGCATGTGCCTGTTCACTCTGTGCATTAATTGGTGTCACAAAGTTTGGCATTAACCATTAATAGTTGATCTATTAGAATATAATGCATCACCTTCAGTTTGCCTTGAGTAGTACTCACGTAGACTCTGATATGTGGTTTTGTTGCTCCCAGGTTTATATGGGCTATGGTCACCCACAGGGTGACAGAATAAACCATCTGGCGCTCTAATTATTCAAGGCATGCATCTGTGGCCCCCATATGTACAAAACCACAGCCATCAACATCACAGAAACAGATCAATACCCCACCATGGATGAAACCATTAGTAGTGACACAGCTGCTCAGCACAGGCCTGTTATACCGAATGTTTAGCATGAATAGTGAATGTTAGCATGGATATTTGTCATGAGAGGATTTCCCTAGGCATTAAATTATGGATATTTGTATGATCTTACAGCAATGTTGGACCAAAACATTTGTCTGGCTGCAAATACATCATTAGCTATGTTTCCATCCACCCATTTGTATGCGCATTTTAGATTATCGCATAACAAAAAACTTGATGGAAACACTATGACAGGGGTTCTCAACTGGTTTGGCCATGGGACCCATGTTTTTACATGGATATCAAGCCGCGACCCAAAATTTTAGGATCTATAATACAATTTTAGAAATTATAATCAATTAGTATTTATTTGTTAGCATACACAAGTAGTGACAGATAAATCATAAGAAAATCACCAAGACTTACAAAAAAACTATATTTTATTGCTGTCATTTAACAAAATGTATCAAATTACAGAGTAAAAGCGACAAATACTGTAAACAGTGGTTAGGGTAAGGAAAAGTTCAGTTGCCATGAACTAAACTGTTAATAAAACGTGTTGTCTGGTTTCTAAATATCGTTTTAATTTGGAAGGTTTTGTGCTCTCTTGTGAGAGCACCTCACTACTTATGACACACTGAGGCTTTAAGTCTTTTTTGCCGTCAATATATGTAAATCCATACTTTACATATCCGGGGTCGTATTTGCGCTTTGACTTATTTGTTTCTATAATTAAATGAAATTTTATATGTCGAACGGTGCGGTTGTCGTGCATGCATTTCAAAATAAAAGTCCAAATAAGTAAAAAATTAAACTTTTGTTGTTTTTTTGACCACACTCTTCGCGACCCAATGAAAATGTTGCCCCCCCAGTTGAGAAACACTGCTCTAAGATGCGCATACATTTTTTAATTTATTTCTTCATTTATTTATTTTTATTGTATGCCCACATTCACAAAACATTAACATAAAAATGTTATAAATAAATAAATAGGTAAAAATAAAGTACAATCACACAATTTTAGAGTAGTCTTAAGTTGTGCATACATTTTTGAACATTATAATTTTGCATAACTGAGTAGGATAAACTTTTTATTCGATAAGAAAAAATGTGCATAAGCTCTTAGGGAAATGCAAACACATTAAATAAGTCATATAACAAGATTTTGTTATAAGAGATCATGTGATTATAAAAATAGGTGCGATGGACCACATTAATGGACAAACTAGTAAGTGTGCGTTTCCAAAAACCATTGTTAGTCAACTAAGGTTGCAAGTTCCGTTATTACAAACATAGTTCAATGATTTGGGGTTTCCTAAATCTGTCAACAAACATTCAAAAACTGTGTCGCAAACTTGTATACTTGCATCGCAAACTTGTAGAGCTGTAGTTAACGATAACCGTTTTCAAGGCGTGTTTGGAATAGTCAAGGTTTTAAAACAATTAATTTAATAAAAAAAAAATAAAAAAAAATTCTGTAATACCGTTCCTAAGGTATGAGTAAGATTTTTTTATTTATGTATTTTATTAGACTTTTCTTACGTTTTTTTTAGGACCATAGTATTTTCAGCAGAAAAGATATCCAAAGATGCTATTTAAATGGTAAAGAAATCTGTGTTTTTGAAACTAATGAAGACAGCAAAAGGCAATAATTCATTTGAATTATTTAACCTGAAATGTTTACTGTTCCAAAATATTTTAAATGTTTCTCAAAATGAAATATATTGTGTTCAAAGGGGAATTTTTCATTTTTTACCCAAACATTTTAAACATATTTTAGAGTGTAATCACAATACCGTGGTACTGTGAAACCGTGATATATTTATCCAAGGTTATCATACCGTCAGAATCTTATACCGGCCCATGCCTAGTTAGAAGCATAGTTCCTAGTTGTGTTCTATTCCCAGTTATCTCCCCTATGCCCTATTCCTTTCAAACGTTCCAACATTTAAACTTGGAATGATTTAAAAAATCAAACATTAACCTTTTGTGCACTACTTGAAATTTTTTTTGTCCCACATCTTGGATTGAATAATATGCTAACACAAACAAACAAACAAAAATAAAAATATATACAGTCAAAATTATTAGCCTCCCTTTGAATTTTATATTTATTTTTTTAAAATATTTCTCATGTGATGTTTAATGGAGCCTCAAAATTTTAACAGTATTTGTGATAATATTTTTTCTTCTAGAAAAAGTCTTGTTTGTTTTATTTCGGCTAGAATAAAAGCAGTTTTTAAAAAAACTATTTTAAGCTCAATATTATTAGCCCTTTTAAGCAATATTTGTTTTCAATTGTCTGCAGAACAAACCATTGTTATACAATCACTTGCCTAATTACCCTAACTCACATAGTTAACCTGATTATTCGAGTTAAGCTTTTAGATGTCACTTTAAGCTGAATACTAGTATCTTAAAAAATCTAGTCAAATATTATGTACTTTCATCATGGCAAAGATAAAAAAAACAGTTATTAGAAATGAGTTATTAAAAGTATTATGTTTAGAAATGTGTTGAAAAAATCTAAACAGAAATTAGGGGGAAAAATATACAGGGGGGGGCTAATAATTTAGAAGGGCTAATAATCACTTCGACTTTAACTGTATATGGAACCAAAAAAGGATGAGTAAATGATGACAGAATATTCATATTTGGTGAACTATCCCTTTAATGTGTTCCAGCGATTCACAGCCCCCTTGTGAGCACACACTGTGTCTAAGGGAGCTGTTTTGTATCTGAAAGTGTCACGAGATCTGGCGTTTGTGCAGTGCATCTCTGCAGTAGATTTCTCCCAGTGCAGCACACACTCCTGTGAAGATAAAAAAAACTATGTCTCCTGTATCTATTATAAGCTACTGAAGAAGAAGAAAACACGCAACATCTTCTGCCTATAAATAATGCTTGAACGATGTGTGCACCGGAGAAAGGGGTTTCATGTGCAGAGTGCGGGGTGGTGTGTGTGAGATGCATTGAGCGTGCTGTGTTTTGAGATTGTGACTCATTATACTACCGTCCACCAGCCAATGAGTGGCCCAAGACACATTCTCCCACTCGCTCACATAACACATTCTCACACACTCCCACACTGAGGGTTTTTAGACGAAAGAAACACACCCATGTTATATAAATGCATTAAAAAGAAAGTCAAGTTCAAATGCACAGAGTATTGGAAATAGAGAGAAGAATGAAAAGATAAACTGTAAGATTTTGTTCACACAACAACGTTTTCAAGTAAAGCGTCACACTTTTATGCATTTTTCAAAGCATTTTAGCAGACTTAAAATGTGAACTTTTATAAACGTGTGTTTTAAAATTCATGTGTTTCGACCGTCATTTAAACTACTTATTTAAAATGAGCTGAATCAATACAAATCTTGAGCTTTTTTTGGGACAACTTAATTGTTTTATGTTCAATGAATTCATTTTTTAAAAAGAATCACATTAAATTAATTGTTTTGTGTTGGAACAAATTGATGTAATTTGACCCAGCATTTTGTGGTTAACCTTTTAATAAGGTTAACCTTATGATTCATTTAACTTAAAGGGCAGCTATTTTACCCCTTTTACAAGATGTAAGATACGCCTTTGGTGTTTACAGAGTGTGTCTGTTTAAGCTGAAAATACCCATCAGATTGTTTATCACAGCCTCCAGAATCTGCCTATTTTGGTGTCTGAGGACAGTGTAGCTGTTTTTGTAGCCTGTGGCTTTAAATGCAAATGAGCTGCTTCACCCTGCCTACAGTTTCGATGTCTGCTTGTCTGCTTTCCCTGCGTTACTTCAGATAAACAGCAGTCAGTGATAGAGACAGACATGGATGAAGCTGAATTACAACTCATTAGTTAAAAATACCAAGTAAGCTTATTTTAGTTATTTGTGGTGGAGTTTATTCAAGCCTTTCTGAAATGATGAGTCTCACACAAATGCCGTTTACAATACACACACACACACACACACACACACACATATTAGCATTTACTGACATCACGGGCAGATATTTTAATCCGAGTTCATTTGCAAAATAATAGTTCAGTGGATTTGTGTGTATACATGTTGTTTTAGAAACATGTCACCTGTCAGTAATTCGGTGGAGGGGGAAAACGCACTCCTATGTCACAATGTGGTGGGCCTCAAAATCACTGGCATTTGGGTCCTATTTTAACATAAAAAAGGAGACTTGTCGGCTTTATATCACTCCAAATAGGTGTCTTAAAACAGCATGCACAACTTTACAACATGATTAACCTAGTTAACATAAAAACACTTCCTCATAGTATAATTTTTTTTGAGTTTTTACAAATTTGTTTAGTTTATATGCATGAGTATAATTGTAAATACCTGTTGCCAATATATCTGAGAGGATTTTTTTCTAATAAACAAATTGTTGGTACACTGAGTGTCATTGTAGCCTTAATTAATTTCTGCACAGAAATTGTAGTAAGGGAATTTTGTCTTCTATTTTACATACAATGCTCTAAATAACTTTTGTCTTTTTTCCCATCCGCTCCAGTGGTCACCATCCTCTCTAAGTCGCACGCGGACCGCAACGTTTATCCTTCTGCCGGAGTGCTTTTTGTACATGTGCTTGAGAGGGAATATTTTAAAGGAGAATTCCCACCATATCCGAAAGCAGGTATATGTTCTTCCTGCTTAATAATATGCCTATACAGTATTATAGTATTATTACTAGTCCATAAATCACTAAATGGCCTATGACCTCAATACATTATAGATATG